GCCCCAAGAGGCCCCCAAGAGGCCCCCAGGAGGCCCCCAAGAGGACCCCAATCGACCCCAAGAGGCCCCCCCGAGTCACCCACGACGCCGAAAAGCCCCCCAGGACCGCCAAGAAACCCCCAAGACGTCCCAGAGGACTTTTTTTCTTTTTTCTGGAGAAGCGCGAAAGCGCAGAGGCGGGAGCGACGGTGCGCGGAAAGGAGCCACCCAATCCATGGGCGGCAGAATGGGGCCTCTCAAACGGAGAGACCCTCGAGCTCCCAAATCCGCCACCCTTGAAGGTTAGAAGGACCTCTTGGTGGCGAAAACGGCACGAGCAGTCTTTGCCCGTTGCTGAGGGAGCATACCGAAGAGGAGAGCCGACAAGTTTTTTCGACCTCTCCTCGAAATGGGCCTGCACGGCTTCCCAAGTCCGTCAGAGCGGACCCGAAACCTCCCATATAGGCCACAAGAAAAACAAAAAACAGTCCCTTGAACACCATTCTGAAGTTTGTGGGACGGGTGAATCTCCCGCCCACAGAACACCGTAGGCTCAAGGACTCTCGACGACCCTCCTTGGCACTGGGTGTTGATACCCCAAGAGGCTCCGAGAGGCATCACAGAGACCTTTGGCCCTCTTGCGTGCCCTCCTCCTCCTGCTCCTCCCTCCTCCTCCTACTCATTCTCATCGTTTCCTCATCATCCTATTCATCCTCCTCATCCCCACCCATCTATCCATCCGACCTCCTCCTTCTCCTCCTTCCTCCTTCGCACGGTTCGGACCGTCTCCCTCTTTGTTCCCGCCCTTCCCTGATCACCTCAACTCGCCTGGACATCGTTTCTGGATGGGCTGGCGGGGATATTTTTTTTGTTGGTCGCGGCCGCGGGCGAATGCGCAAACTGCGAGTCGTAACTCCGGGGCGCGGGCCTACTAATTGACAACAGGAGCAAACTAGAGCCGCACACCTAAACTGCCTAAGCTGCCTAAGCGGCGCCTCGCGTGGGCTGCAAGCTGCACTGTGTGGATGCCAGGGCCAGGGGCAGAAAGCGCCCACACAGCGTCCATGCAAGCATCGGTGGCTGCCAGGGTGGCTGCACTGCCAGGGATGAACGCAAGCAGAGAGCTGCAGGGGGAGGCGGACTGCCAGGGTGGCTGGCTGCTAGGGTCTGCAAGCTGCGATGCGAATTGCAGGCAGGGGTGTAACCACCCACGGGACTGCAAGAGTACCGAGGAAGCCAGCCAAGTGGGCCAACGTCACGAAATGAATTGGATGCGAGTGAATTGGGCAGCAGAAGCTGCGGCGCGGCCAAAATGGCGCGTGGGGGCACCGCGATGTGACCAGGGTGGGCACCTCAGAGCGACCCAAGATGCCTGCCAAGACCTGGCACGTGCGAGTGGTGGCGCCAGCAAAGTCGCACACCCGAGCCCCGGATAGAGGGGGGGCGCAGTCCGCGGTCGACACACCAGCGGCGGCGACAGACGCGAACAGACGGCGGGAGGGTGGACACCGGCTGGCGGGGATACGCGAAGCGTCTAGAATACTCTAAGACGAGGCGCCATGAAATCTGGGGAGACATCATGGCCCCCGCCATGATACCCCCCCCCTGGTCATCCCCCCCTCTTGGCCGCCCCCGACTAGAGCGGCGGCCACGAGCTCCACGCCGACTGCAGCAGCGGGGCAACGCCAGGGAGGGACCCGCTCGCGGGGCGATGCGTAGCCGACAGAGCGGCGACAGGCCTCCGATAGCGAATCCGCCCGCTCCTGGGCGGGGTGGGGCCATCGGGCCCCCTATCGGCGATCAGTGGGCGATTCGGGGTCGATGCGTTGCCCCACGAGCCTGTTCCCTCCCTAACGTTGCCCCTGATCCATCCTCGCTCCTGGACAAGCATCGGAATACCGATGCCGCTGCTCCTCGGGCCCCTCCCGAGGTGCGCTCCGGCCAAAATATATCAAGGCGAATCCAGCCGCGGCTACGAGGACCTCCTAGGAGAAGGCGAAGGCTAGGAAAGGCTGAGCGGTATCGGTGTTTCTTCCTCCCCCTCCTTCCTCGCCCCCCTTCGCCGTCGCCCTCGCCCCCGTCCCCACCTCGCCTCCACCTTCGCCGTCCGGCTTCCTCGCCCCCACCCCCACCTCGCCCCCGCCCCCACCTCGCCCCCACCTCGCCCTTCCTCGGCTTCCTCGCCCCCACCTTCGCCGTCGCCCTCGCAGCCGAAGCCATCCGGCGCTGGGCGCCGCGACTTCCTCCGACGACTGCAGACCCCCGACGCCATGACTTTTTCACGACTTGGACTCCCAGAGGCCTGGACCTCCTTCCAGGGGACCGGCTTGCGGTCCCGAGCGGTTTCCTGACGGTCCTGGGTCTCGGCGAGGGCCCCCAGAGCCCAAACTCACGACCCGTGTCCCGCTTCAAGCTCCGCTCCTACCAGGACTTCCACCTCCGCGCTGTCCGCGCGCTCCGGCACTCGCGCACCAGGCCTACATGTTCTGAGCGTGCTCCTCCCTCCCCCCGCGCGTTCCTCCTCCTCCTCCTCCTCCTCCTCCTCCTCCTCCTCCTCCTCCTCCTCCTCCTCCTCCTCCTCCTGCCGCCGCGCGCTGACTCCACAGCTCCGCACGCCTGGCCGCCCGCGCCGCGCGCGCGTCCCGTGTGTGGGGGGGGGGGGGCCTGCCGTAGGGCAGGCCGCGTACGGCGCCGGGGGTCGCCTGTATACGTGGCTGCGGCTCAAATCCGCCGACCCTGTCGGCGTGTGTGAGGGGCTTTTCCGTTCGAGACGTCATCCCCGTTGTTCGTTGGTCGTCGTCTCTGTCGTCCCCCTTCCTTGCGCCTCCCTTTCCGTGGGCCCGTCGCCACTCCCGTCCTCTTTCCCAGCAGGGGCCCCTGCTCAAGCGCGCCAGCCCAAATGAACTTCAGCAACGTCGCATTTGAGTCGAAGGGAAGCCCCTTCCCTTTGATCCCTCCCCCGCCGGGAGGGGGGGGGGGGGTAGCGGGGGGGTCCCGGGGGGGGGGCGCCACTCAGATACGACGCCCCCCCCGCGCCCAAGATGCCTCCAAGATGGCCCCAGAGGCTGCCCAGACGGGGGGCCCGACGAGCCCTCGGCGACAGAGGCTCCCAGGAAGCCCCAAGATGCCCCCAAGAGGCCACCACGAGACCCCCAAGAGGCCCCCAGGAAGCCCCAAGAGGCCCCCCCCGCCACATACGAGAACGCATGGGTCGCCCTCCAGGGTCGGCGGCACCGGCCGTAAGGCCTTCGCAATAGTCTTGTAGCCTCCTCCTCCTCCTCCTCCTCCTCCTCCTCCTCCTCCTCCTCATTTCCCTCCTCTTCCTCCTCCTCCCACCGCCCGCCATGCCCAATTCGGCTACGTACATCCCACGTCTGCTTCCGAACGCGGCGGGGACCCTCGCCGCTGAGACAACCGCTGCTCCCTGGACCTCTCCCAAGGCGCGTTCTGACCGGAATGTCGTGGCGAGTCCCGCGGTGGCGACGAGGGCCGCCCACGAGGCCCAACAAGGGGGATACGATGGGAAGGGCAGATGAACGGGTTTATGGTTGAGTCGGGCACGTCCCTCTACAGGAGGAGTACTCAAAAACAGTTTGTTGTGTTGTTTTTTTCTCACAAAGAAAAACTGTGTGGGGATGATGTTTCTACAATTTTGTTTGACTGTGTTTAAATATGTTCTGGCTACATCCTACTTTTCGTCTAGAATCCGCCTGTAGGAGGACACGCCCGACCGAAATGTATTGGTATCTGTTCCTCCTGTCTTCATCCTCCTCCTAGTCCTCGTCCTCGTCCTCCTCCTCCTCCTCGTGCTCCTCCTGGTCCTCCTCCCTCCTCCCTCCTCCCTCCCTCCTCCCTCCTCCCTCCTCTGCGTTTTCACGACGCGAGGGGGTCTGCGACGCCAGGCCGAGGGCTCAAGCCTCACTGGCCCTCGGCGGCCGCCCCGGGCGCGCCCTCCCAGCCGAAGGCCTCCAGCGCCGCGGCGGCTGCGCTGCGCACGGGGTCCCGCGGGTCCTCCAGGGCGTCGGCGACCTCGTCGGCGAACGCGGCGCCCCTCGCGTCCTCCTCCTTATCCTCCTCCTCCTCCTCCTCCTCCTCCTCCTCCTCCTCCTCTTCCTCCTCCTCTTCCTCTCCTCCTCCTCCTCCTCCTCCTCGGTCTCCTCGGAGAGGGAGCCGCGCAAAAAGTGGCACAGACATAAGTTGTCGAAAACCCGCGCGGATTTCTGGCATCGGCGTCGGATCCCTCTCCCTGGCGGCGGCACCGGAGGCGCCGCCAAGGGGGCTCCAGCGCCGATCCGATAAATCCGCGCGGACATCTGACAACTAATGTTTATGCAGCGTTTGTTCCCTGATCTTGGGGCCCCTCGATTCAGGCGTTGGAAAAAAACGGCACGACGGTCCGTTTTTTCGCTGTTTTCGCCCCCTGGACTCTGGAGGCAATTTTTCCAGGCCTCGGGACCGTCAAAGAACAAATCGGGATGAAAACTCGAACCCCTGGGGAAGTGGTCGAAACATTGGAACCGACGTCGTGACGTCGTGAAAGCCAAACACAGTGACAGTCTGACGGCCGAAGAAATCAAGCCTTACTGGTCAACCAAACTTACGCAGCCCGCTTTACGGCCAGATGCCTGCTGGGAGCTCGCGCTGTGCAGGGCATCGCATCATCGAGCGCCACTGGTCCAGCAATGGCAAGAGGACACCGTCGCGCGAAAGAAAGCCACCCCCGAAGCAGCAGGCAAAAAACAGTGACCGAGAGCCGCCGCGTCGCGAAAGCAATACAACGCCGGATGGGCGGGGGCGGCGAGACCCCTGCATATCCACTGCCCCGGGCCTGGCCCACCCTGGGCCCAAGAGCGGGGTGCCCCCACCCTCCTGGCCTTGCCAAGAAGGAGGAGGAGGACGAGGAGGAGGGGGAGGAGAACGAGGAGGAGGAGGAGGAGGAGGAAGAGGAGGAGGAAGAGGAGGAGAAGGAGGAGGAGGGGGAGGAGGGAGAGGAGGGTGATGAGGAGGGTGAGGAGGGTGAGGAGGAGGAGGAGGAGGAGGAGGAGGAGGAGGAGGAGGAGGAGGAGGGGGAAAGTGAGGAGAGAGCAGAGCAGAGCAGCACCAATGATCCGATTAAGTACCGCGGCCTCGAGCAAGCGCACCCTGAGGGCCCTCAAGGGAAAAACAAAAAACGGATCAGGTGTTCGAGAACCACTTTGGGGCACGATAATCTTTGGGGCCCCGCAGGGGAATACCGCTGGCCAAGCAAGACCCCCATTTGGGGAAACCGCGGGGGGCTCGCCTAGGCACTCCACACTACATAGCGGGCCGAAGGTGAACGACGAATAAGCTCACCCCGACACAACATAGCGCAGTAGCCGCATAGCTACAGGTCAAAAACGCAAACGGATTGAGACGGTCAGAGGCAAGTTCAGCTCGAATCGGTCGGGCCCGAAATCGCGCAATCGATCGCAACGACAGAGGGGAGAAGAGGAGGATCGCGGGCCGCATACAATCGATTCAGTTCGTTCTGGGACGGGGCCCTGTCCAGGCAGGCGTCAGTCAGAGTGCGCTCACCGCGCGCAGTCTCGCCCGTGGTGTCGTTCATACCCTCCTTCATGCGGTCCGCGTTCCCCTTTCGGTCGGTAATCTCGTCCCCGCACTTCTGCGCCCTCCACCATGAAGTGCCGGGGGAAGCCGACACGAAGTCCAGCCCTCGATGACGATCAGGAGCCAGCAGCCCACGCAGAAGCATCTATAAGCCATTCGCATGGATAAGATGCAAGAGGGGATGTCTCAGAAAAGAGGCATGCAGGGAAACGTGTGGGAGCGAGCGCCTGTCGCTCAGTGCACCTGTGCTCCTCACCCAGATGCCTTGAGGAGGAGGAGGAGGAGGAGGAAGAGGAGGAGGAGGAGGAGGAGGAGCACGAGGAGAAAGAGGAGGACGACGACGAGGGACGAGGCATATGCACCGCTTCTGCGCCCAAGACCCGTGTTAGTGCACAGCTTGCACCCTCCGACCTTTGACCCATGCCTGCAAGCGCCTCTATCGCGGCGACTGCGGTGCCGCAGTCCTCGTCCTGCATACTGCGCGCGATGTCCTGGAAGGGCCACAGCAAAAATGCAGCACGAGCCGAAACTTCGGTCGGGCATGTCCTCCTACAGGCGGATCTTGGGCGACAAATGAACTATCCGGAGACGTACACAACCGTTTGTACACATGAGGCGACTATACAACGGACCGCTCAATACAACAGCATGCGCTGAAGGTTCCGCAGTGCTTTTGGACGCTTCGCCAAAGACCGTTGGGCCAGAGTCTAATGTTTCACATTCGCGGCATCACTCTTAAGAGACACATCGCTGGCAGGAAGGCGACCACGAGGGGGCGTGGAAACATATTGATGAAGGGGAAAGTGGAGACATGCTTCGTGGGAGTAACAGCGCATCGCGCCAGGTTCTCATTTCGGAACAGCGCCAAGCGCGCTATGACAGAACAGCGCCCTGCGCTAAGCGCTGCAAGTGCCTGAGTGCACTACGTGCAAGAGGCAACTGAAGAGTCGAGCGGCATGGGCACATGACAGCGCCATGCGCTCCGTGGCGCCCCATCCCGCTGCGATCTGCGATCAAGCAGCGCGGCGCGCTCTGTGACGGGACAGCGCCGCGCGCGCTATGGGAGCTCCAGCCATCAGGGCCCAGGAAAGCGGCGACAGTTCCGCAGATCACAGCTCCTCAAAGACGGCGAGGTCTCATGGTGGTCCTCGTGGGACACCCCTCCGCTGGAACTCCCAGGAGCCCACGAAAGTAGCGACGAATTCGCAGATCGCAGCCCCCCGGGGACGGCGATGTCTTATGGTGGTCCCCTGAGACACCCCTCCGTTGGGCCCCCCAGGAGCCCACGAGAGTGACGACAGTTTCGCATATCACAGCCCCCAGGGACGGCGAGGTTTCATGGTGGCCCCCGTAAGACACCCCCCCGCTGGACCTCCCAGGAGCCGACGGGGCGACAGGTCTCATGGTGGTCCCCGTAAGACACCCCTCCGCTGGACCTCCCACGAGCCCACGAAATTGGCGACAGTTTCGCAGATCGTCCGCCCCCCAGGGACGGCAAGGTCTCACGGTGGTCCCCGTAGGACGTCACTCTGCTGGACCTCCCAGGAGCAAACGAAAGTGGCGACCGTTTGGCAGATCGCAGCCCCCGGGGGCAGGGAGGAGGAGGAGGAAAGAAACGAGGAGGAGAAAGGAGGGAGGAAGGAGGAGTGAGTGATGGAGACCACGGTGCGCTATTCTAAACGAGAACCCAGACAAGGGAGGGTTGAACCCAGACAAGGGAGGGTTGCGAAACATATGTTGAACATGCGACATAAATAATGATAATCAATAGTAAAACAAAATGTCTCCTGACATTTTATACTATTTTGAATATTCATCCTGTAGAGGGACAGGCCCGACTTAAGCCTAATCTGTCAGAGGTCCGCGAGTTCGTCTTGGATGAGCGCTGGACCCCAATCCCCACATTCTGGGGAAGGGATGTCGGGACGCTGACCCAAAGTATCCGCGCGGACCTCCGAACATTCAGGACCACACCGCTTCTTGCTGCTCGAGATGTCCGCGGCATACATCTGGCCGCGAGGCCCGAATCTCGCGAGAGATCCAATGGCAGCCACTCTTACCTTCGCGCCGCCGCTGCCGCCGCCAACCGTTGTCGTCTTCGTCGTCGTCGTCGCCGTCGCCGTCGCCCCCGCCGTCTTCGTCGTCGCTGCCGTCGTCGTCCAAGCCTTTGCGCACCGGTCGCCCAGGCACCCCACGAGCTCCCCGCTGCGGTCGTGCGCGGCCGCGCCCATGCGGCCGAGCGCCGCAGCGGCGGCTGCGCGCGCGCAGGGGTGCTGGCCGGGTGCTGCCAGGGATGCCAATTGCCCAACCCTAAGGGGAACAAACAACAACTCGGAGGTGGAGGAGGAGGAGGAGGAGGAGGAGGAGGTGGCGAGGAGGAGGAGGAGGAGGAGGAGGAGGAGGGGGAGGAGGAGGAGGAGGAGGAGGAGGAGGGGGTGGAGGAGGAGGAGGAGGAGGTCCGCGCGGATTCCTCGGATCGACGCTGAGCCCCCCCCCCCGGCAGCGCCTCCGGCGCCGCCCCGGGCGCGCTCCGCGCGCCAGGGCATGTGCGGGTATGTGTGTATGTCTAGCGCCGATCCGGAAATCCGCGCGGACCTCAATTTTCGTATGTTCCTCCAAGCACTCTGGGCGTCGCGAGCTTTTCACAATGGGCGAGCTCGTCTGGCTTTTTGGGCTCCGGGGCCGTCACACATGGATCCGGCTCGAGAAATGCCGCAGAGACATTGGGTCTATAGCTCATGTCGTGATGATCCGCGATGCTACATTTTTGTCGCAACTCCGCATCTCAGGGAAGGTGCCCCCAGAATTTCCAGGGAAGCCCCTGCGGCCTCCAGAGCACTCTTCGCGAGGCCCAGGGGGCCCCAGGGGAGCCCCAGAAGTAGCGCGAAGAGCTGGGGGGCCCTGGAAATTCTGGGGACACCTTCCCTGAGATCCGACGCAGCCATAAACTGGCAACATCGCGGAAAATCACGAAGGGCACCCTGGACCCCATCTCTCTGGGGCATCTTTCGCTCTGGATCGATCCATGAAGGGCCCGAAGCCAGGCGAAAACGCCCCGTGGAAAGCCCTGCGACGGCCGGAACCCAGGGTTGGGCCAGGGGCACCTCCGGCACCACCCCGACCTCGAGGAGCAGGAAAGACAGCCAACCCGTATCAGAAGGATGCGCGGTAAGGATGCAAGGGCCTTAGGGGGCCATGCCAAAAGTTTGTCGAACGAGGCTGGCCAGCGAGAGCAGCTGAGGACGGGCCGAAGGGGCGAGGACGCCAGGGTGCCCTTGGGCAGGTTGCCCATCATTACCATGTGGGCCGAATGTGGCACAAACATAAACTTTCGGAGGTCCGCCCTGATTTCTTGGATCGGCGTTGGACACTCCTGGCGCGCGGAGCGCCAGGCGCGGCGCCGGAAGCGCCGCCAGGGGGCTCCAGCGCCGATCCAGGGAATCCGCGCGGACCTCTAAGAGTTGATGCTTGTTCGTGGGCGAAAGCAGACCATGTCCGCATCGGCAGCCACGCGAGCCGCCGCGACCCCGCGGATGCGGGGAGTTGCTTCGCTTCGTGCGACCGCGAATCAGCGGGAGCGTGCCCCAGATTTCAGACCACGAGGGCCCGGATGCGGACATGGCCGCCGCCCGTGATCCGTGTGCGCGCGGGCACAATCACAATGCTTAGGTCGGGCATGTCCACCTAAAAGCGGAATTTAAACGAACAAATAAGCACACCTCACAAATATCCGAAAATAGCCCCACGTAGTTTGAAAAATGGTCCCAGACTATGTTTAAATAATTTGTGGATACTCCTGTAGAGGGACAGGCCCGACTTAACACAATGTCTCGACGTCTGCACTGCTCGCAGGGGCGAACAACCGGGGACCCCGAAAGTCATGGGGCCCCTGTGGGGCCGAAGATCTGGCCCAGAGCGCGGCACGCTCCCCCCCAAAGAAGCCGACCACGGCCCCCCCCCTGTGTTTTCAATCGATCGACATGTCGGCCGGCAACCAGACTAGATCTGGGTCGGGCATGTCCTCCAACAGGCGATTTTGGGCGAGGAAAATAATTACCTAACAGCGAAGACTGATAGGTTTCTAATGGGCTAAAAAGAGAGCAGCAGATGACTCCACAGGGGGGTCTGGGCGGGTGCCGGACAGGGTGCCGCAGAAGTCGTTTTAAGCCAACAGTCACACACTTCGTGCTCTTCGACCTCCCAGAACTCCATTCCCGGGCCACATTCTGAATGCCCGGAGCCAACTGTAGGCCACTTCGTGCTCTTCGACTTCCCAGAACTCCATTCCCGGGCCACATTTTGAATGCCCGGAGCCAACTGTAGGCCACTTCGTGGTCTTCGAGTCCCCAGAACTCCATTCCCGGGCCACATTTTGAATGCCCGGAGCCAACTGTAGGCCACTTCGTGCTCTTCGAGTTCCCAGAACTCCATTCCCGGGCCACATTTTGAATGCCCGGAGCCAACTGTAGGCCACTTCGTGCTCTTCGAGTTCCCAGAACTCCATTCCCGGGCCACATTTTGAATGCCCGTAGCCAACTGAGGCTGAGGCAGGCTGCTGCTGAGGCAGGCTGAGGCTGAGGCTGAGGCAGGCTGAGGCTGAGGCAGGCTGAGGCTGAGGCTGAGGTTGAGGCTGAGGCTGAGGCTGAGGCAGGCTGAGGCAGGCTGATGCTGAGGCAGGCTGAGGCTGAGGCTGAGGCTGATGCTGAGGCTGAGGCTGAGGCTGAGGCTGAGGCTAAGGTTGAGGCTGAGCTGAAGCAGGCTGAGGCTGAGGCTGAGGCAGGCTGAGGCTGAGGCTTAGGCAGCTGCTGAGGCTGAGGCTGAGGCAGGCTGAGGCTGAGGCAGGCTGAGGCTGAGGCAGGCTGAGGCAGGCTGAGGCAGGCTGAGGCTGAGGCTGAGGCTGAGGCTGAGGCTGAGGATGAGGCAGGCTGAGGCAGACGCTGAGGCAGGCTGAGGCTGAGGCTGAGGCAGGCTGTGGCTGAGGCTGAGGCTGAGGCTGAGGCTGAGGCTGATGCAGGCTGAGGCTGAGGCAGGCTGAGGCTGAGGCCGAGGCTGAGGCAGACTGAGGCTGGCTGAAGCAGGCTGAGGCTGAGGCTGAGGCAGGCTGAGCTGAGGCAGGCTGAGGCTGAGGCAGGCTGAGGCTGAGGCTGAGGCTGATGCAGGCTGAGGCTGAGGCAGGCTGAGGCTGAGGCCGAGGCTGAAGGCAGACTGAGGCTGAGGCTGAAGCAGGCTGAGGCTGAGGCTGAGGCAGGCTGAGGCTGAGGCTGAGGCAGGCTGATGCTGAGGCAGGCTGAGGCTGAGGCTGAGGCTGATGCAGGCTGAGGCTGAGGCAGGCTGAGGCTGAGGCGAGGCTGAGGCAGGAGGCTGAGGCTGAGGCTGAGGCTGAGGCTGAGGCAGGCTGAGGCTGAGGCTGAGGCAGGCTGAGGCTGAGGCTGAGGCTGAGGCTGCAGGCTGAGGCTGAGGCAGGCTGAGGCTGAAGGCAGGCTGAGGCTGAGGCTGAGGCAGGCTGAGGCTGAGGCTGAGGCTGAGGCTGAGGCAGGCTGAGGCTGAGGCTGTGACTGTGACTGCCGTTGCCACTGCGACTGTCATCGCGAATGCGACTGCGACTGCGAGAACAGGAGAATTCTACAACTGGATTCTCATCTGGATCTTAAGGGGAATGTTTCCATATATGCTTCTACACATCGCTGTTAGGTTGCTTTGCCGGGATAATCAAACAATGCTCAACAAGATTCAAAAATAGTCAAAGAAATCGTCCCCAGACTATTACCTAACAGCTTGTTCTGATAGGTTTCTAGTGGTGTCAAAAGAGAGCAGCAGATGACTCCACAGGGGGGTCTGGGCGGGTGCCGGACAGGGTGCCGCAGAAGTCGTTTTAAGCCAACAGTCGCACACTTCGTGCTCTTCGACCTCCCAGAACTCCATTCCCGGGCCACATTCTGAATGCCCGGAGCCAACTGTAGGCCACTTCGTGCTCTTCGACTTCCCAGAACTCCATTCCCGGGCCACATTTTGGATGCCCGGAGCCAACTGTAGGCCACTTCGTGCTCTTCGACTTCCCAGAACTCCATTCCCGGGCCACATTTTGGATGCCCGGAGCCAACTGTAGGCCACTTCGTGCTCTTCGAGTTCCCAGAACTCCATTCCTGGGCATGATTTTGAATGCCCGGAGCCAACTGTAGGCCACTTCGTGTTCTTCTAGTTCCCAGAACTCCGTTCCTGGGCCACATTTTGAATGCTGAGGCAGGCTGATGCTGCGGCCGAGGCAGGCTGAGGCTGAGGCAGGCTGAGGCTGAGGCCGAGGCTGAAGGCAGACTGAGGCTGAGGCTGAAGCAGGCTGAGGCTGAGGCTGAGGCAGGCTGAGGCTGAGGCTGAGGCAGGCTGATGCTGAGGCAGGCTGAGGCTGAGGCTGAGGCTGATGCAGGCTGAGGCTGAGGCAGGCTGAGGCTGAGGCCGAGGCTGAAGGCAGACTGAGGCTGAGGCTGAAGCAGGCTGAGGCTGAGGCTGAGGCAGGCTGAGGTTGAGGCTGTGACTGCGACTGCCGTTGCCGCTGCGACTGTCATCGCGAATGCGACTACGACTGCGAGAACAGCAGAATTCTACAACTGGATTTTCATCTGAATCTTAAGGGGAATGCTTTCAGATATGCTTGTACACATCGCTGTTAGGTTGCTTTGCCGGGATAATTTTTCCTTGTTTTATACCATTTGGGAATTTACCTCCTGTAGAGGGACAGGCCTGCCTCAAGACTAGACCCTATTCCCGTTCCTCGACGAGCTGGGAGCGCAGCAGGGCTGCCACCGCCTCGACCGCCGCCGCTCCTGGGGCGACGAGCGCTGTGCACATGGCGGGCTCCGGGAACACTGAACCCCAACAAGACTCAAACAAATAATCGAACAAGCACGCGCAACGGTACTCGCCCAGACCTAGTGAGCTACCCGAGCACCGCGCATTCAAGGGCACGTGGTCACAAAGCGGCCAGCCGCTCCGATGGCAGGCGAGGCTCGCCTCTCGAGCCCTCAGCGTCAGCCTCCTATATGCCGCCACGCTGGTTCCGGGCAGGCTGTGCTGTCCGGCGGAAGGGGACGCCTTGGAGGGAAGCCTTTCCTTCCGCCGCCTTCCGCCGAACTTCCGCCGACTTTCGCCCGCGAAGGCGGCCTCGTTTTCCTTCGCCGCCTCCCGCCGGCGTTCCGCCGGCGAAGAGATGGCAACTCCTTCGACCCTCGAAGGCGAGGCCCCTTCTGGAGCGCCCAGCGAAAGCTGCCGGGGAGGGGCCGAAAGGGACAAGGACGCAAGGGCACTCCGCATTTCGCAATAAAAGGAACGTCCATCCCTCGTTCGGGAGCGGCCAAGAGGGGGGTGTCCAAAAGGGGGGGGTGCAAATCATGACCGGCGGCATGTGCGCGGCCCAGCGGGGGGGCCAGGGACGTAATGAAATAAGAAGAGGCGCCATGAAATCTGGGGAAAATCATGGCCCCCGCCATGATATCCACCCCCCCCTAGTCATCACCCCCCTCTTTTCCGCCCCCGACTCGTGCAGTGTTCGTGGTTTCTGCGCAAGACGATCTGCAGTCCTCCTCGATGGCCCTCGCAGAGAGCAGTGCGCACGTCCAAGCGACATCGAGTGCAAAGGCAACCTTGGAAAACTGCGCCCACTGCCCCAGGGCTGCCCCTTCCCGGGCCTGGGAGCGGTGCTTCTGCGCCCTGATGGCTCGGCCAGGGGAGGCGCCCACACCGCTCCTCGGCCCAGAACGGGGGCCAGGCCTGGGGCAGCGGATGTTGCACAGATCCCGGCGCCGCTTCGCAGCATCCCGCTACTAGGACAAAGCCAAGATGAGGATAACATCGGGTGAGGGTGAATCGAGCATCTGTGACGGCGGCCTTCTCAGAGGGTTCCGGGACGCCCTGAGCTGAGAGCGTTCCGGAACGCTCTGCAACGGATTTTGTCCTCGTCTTAGCCTGTCCGACCCGCTCCTTCCCGAGCATCTCCCCTCGTGCGTTCTGACTGGGACTTCGAGGCGAATGCAGCCGTGGCGACGAGGATCTCCCAGGAGGCCCCACGGGGCGAAGACGAGGGAAGAGCAGCGGTATCTAGAAGAAGAAAAAACGCCATAAACATCAACTTTTTGCGCTCCGCGCGGATTTCTTGGCCTCGCGCTGGACCCCCCTCCCTGGCGCGCGGAGGGCGTCGCCGGAGGCGCCGCCGAGGGGGCCCCGGCGCGGAGCCAAGAAATCCGCGCGGAGCGCCACAAGTTTATGTCTATGTGTTTTTTCTTCTTCTAGCATCGCAACCATTTTTCGGGGATGGACAGACCCCCTTTAGTAAAACGTGGTTTAGTGAAAACGACCTGAGGCCGAAACCTGGCGGGCGCAAGCCTGGAAAATAACGGCCACGGCGCCCTCTCGAGAACCGATAACGGACAATTCACTAATCGACGTGTCACTGTTGGGGGTTCTGTCCACCCCCGATTTTTCTCCTCGTCTGAGCGCTGGCATGTCTCCGTTCGGGACGGTCCGGGCACCGCTGGAACGCCATCTCGGCGAGGGGCAGCCGCTCGGCGAGGCGCCCCCGGGCTGGGAGACCGCCGCGGACCCACAGAACCGCCCGAACACCCCGAACACCTCGATGCGGAGGGCAGAGGCAGGTATGGGAGGAGGAGGAGGAGGAGGAGGAGGAGGAGGAGGAGGAGGAGGAGGAGGAGGAGCAGGAGGAGGAGAAGGAGGAGCAGGAGGAGGAGGAGCAGGAGAGGAGGAGAAGGAGGAGAAGGAGGAGCAGATGGAGGAGGAGGAGCAGGAGGAAATATTCCTCCCCTGCACTCCGGAGCCCCCACGCGCCTCGCCGAAGCTGCCCGCGGCGCGCGCAGCCGCGGCGCGCACGCGGACGTCGGCGTCTGCCAGCAGCCGCAGCACCCTCTCCTCGAGGGCCGCGGTCTGCGGGCCGAGGCGGCTCAGCGCCTCCGCGGCCGCCCGCCTCACCTCGGGGTACCTCCTCCTCCAACTCCTCCACCTCCTCCTCCTGCTCCTTCCCTCCTCCTGTCCTTCTTCTCCTCCTTCCCTCCTCCTCCTCCTCCTGCACTTCCTCCTCAACCTCTTCCTCCTCCTCCTCCTCCTCCTCCTCCTACTTCTCCTCCTCCTCCTCCTCCTCAACCTCTTCCTTCCCTCCTCTTCCTCCCTCTTCCTTCCCTCCTCCACCTCCTCCCTCCCTCCCTCCTCCTTCCCTCCTCCATCCTCCTCCTCCTGCTCCTCCTCCTCCTCCTTCTCCTCCTCCTCCTCTTCCTCCCCCTCCTCCTCCTCCTCCTCCTCCTTCTCCTGCGCCGCCTCCTCCTCCTCCTCCTCCTCCGTTTCCTCCTCCTCCTCCTTCTCCTCGGCACAACGATTCAGCGACCGCCCGCCTCACCTCTGGGTGCCTCACAGATGGGCTCCGAGCAGATGGGGTCGGGGGATCGCGCCGCATTCCATCCTTCAGATCTGGGCGTTGCACTTGTTCCACAATGGGCGTTATTGGGTCCTGAGGCTCTCACAGATCGATCGGGCTTGAAGAATGACGCAGAAAGATGGTGTCTAGGGCTCCGATGTCGGGCTTCTGTTGCAACGTCGGACCTCATGGGAGGCACCACCGATGAATTTGCGATGAATCGGCGACGTCGGCGGTGCATCGGCGACGTCGGGGTGGAGAAAAGCGGGCTCCACATCGCGCCGCATCGGCAATGCGGCGCTATCCCCGATCCCATTAACTCGGATCCCATTTGGGGAGCCTAATTGGCGGCGCGCAGACGGGAGTACGGGAGGGGGGAGGGCTTCTTAGAAGGGGGCTGCTTCTTAGAAGGCGCGGGCCTTACAACTACAGACAAGTCGGGGGCGCGCAAGCATGGATTAGCGATCCATGAATTTGGCGCGCGGTCGCCAAATCCATGGATCGGAGGAACTGTCCCCCCCAAAATGCGGCCGGTGCCGCCTCGCTCGGCGGCGGAAATCCGGGATTCCCCATGGAAACGAGGACCCGTCGCGAATCCACGCCCCCTTGATCTCTGTTTGCGATCGCCTGAACAAGGTCCGCGCCTTCTAAGAAGCAGCCTCCCTCCAAGAAGCCTTCCCCCCTCCCCCCCCCTGTGCGCGCCGCCGACCCAGATCACCTCGGCGCTCTCGTCGTCCAGGAGAGCGCCCAGCTTCTCAACGGCTGCGCGCAGGAGTGGCCACCACGTATGGGCAGCCCGGACCTCCAAAGCCACGACCAAATCGCGGTGGCGGCTCTTCGCTGTCCTCGGCCTCCGTGGGCCCTCGTCTGGCCCCGAGACTGTTAGAAGACGGCTCAGTTCGTCGGCCTCCGTTGGCCCTCGTCGGGCCCCGAGACTGGCAGAAGGCGGCTCAGGATGGAAAACCGGCCCTGGGGAAAGTGTCGGGACTTAGGTCGGGCGTGTCCACCTACAGGCGTATTTTGGACAAATAATCAAAATTCAACCAACAAATAATCAACCAATGCTCAACAATCCTGGACCTCCCTGGGGGCCCCCGTGCAGAACAAAACTCAGGACATCGGACCTCTGGGACCGCGCAGGGGTGGCCTTCGGTGCGCGACCTGAGGGGGCCGCGGCGGGCGGGGGGGGAAGGGGTGGGGGGCAAGCGCCAGTGGACAGGCCAAGGCTGCGGGGCACCCCGTCGGGCCCGCACCAAGGGCCACTCCCGCAAGAGGCCACTCTCGGCGGCGACTCCGACGGGTGTGGCGTGCAAAAGGGCGTGGTTTGCGATCCGGCACCCTGGGAGGCGGGCGAAGACCTCGACAGAGCTCTCCGCCGCGCCCCGAGGAGGCTCGACGAGGGCAACATGGTGCCCCCCCCAAGTCCCAACGATCCAAATCTTGGGATGGCAAGCATAACAGAAACACCAAAACGCGAATCACGAAAAACCCAACACTCACCAAAAATGTAAACGCCGTGCTCGGCCCATGGCCGCCGGGAATGCTGCTACCGAACCAAACCTCAACGACCCAGATAGGAAACCACACCCCGGCGTAACCAAACCGTTTTTCAGTCGCCCGCACGCAAGAGTGACCCCCCTGCGGGGGGGAAAAAAAACACTGTGGGGAAAAAAACAAACAACACAAAAAACACAACAAAAACACTGTGTGCTTTTGTATTTGTTGTGGTTGTTGTTGCTTTGTGTTTTTTCGACAACAAACACACTGCTTTTTGTTTTTTTGCGTTTTTTCCGCAAGAGTGACCTGTGGTGCGCGGCTCTCGGGGAGCTGCGGGGGGGGCAAGCCCAAGCGCGCAAGACGCAACCACCGCATCGCATCCGGCGATCGGGGGCCCCCGTGGGCCCGCACCAGAGGTCACTCTGGAGAGAGGTCACCTCTTATGCGTATAGAAAGGAAGAATTGAAGGATAAAAAACGGCCCTACCCTGGGAACCCCCAAAGCCTAGAGCCGCCAGGACGCGGCACATCACGCAGGGTTTCCCCTGTCAGCCCACAGGAGTTTCAGCGCACAGTGCCTCGTGAACCAGGGTAGGGGCGTTTTTTATGCCCTTGAAAAAAACGATAAGCGCTCCGCGCGGATTTCTTGGATCTGCGCCTGGGCCTCCCGCCCTGGCGCGCGGAGCGCGCCAGGGGCGGCGCCGGAGGCGCCGCCGGGGCGCCCCAGGCGCGGAGCCAAGAAATCCGCGGGGAGCGCCAACAATTTCTGTTTATTGCGCTTGTTCTGCTTCGACAGAGGTCACTCCGGCGAGAAGTCAGCTCTTACTTGTAGCCCACTTTGTAGTGTTAAGTCGGGCGTGTCCCCCTACAGGGGGATTTTGGACGAAAAATAAAAAAATAAAAATGTAGGCAAACATGGTCGAAAAATCGGCCCCCCAGCATTTTTTGACTATTTTCGAATATTCCTCCTGTGGAGGGACAGGCCCGACTCAAGTCGGGGGCGGCCAACTGGGGGGTGTCCAAGAGGGGAGGTGCAAATCATGACCGGCGGCATGTGCGCGGCCCAGCGGGGGGGCCAGGGACGTAATGAAATAAGAAGAGGCGCCATGAAATCTGGGGAAATATCATGGCCCACGCCATGATATCCCCCCCCCTAGTCATCACCCCCCTCTTTGCCGCCCCCGACGTCTGAGCGCTGGCATGTCTCCGTTCGGGACGGTCCGGGCACCGCTGGAACGCCCTCGCGGCGAGGGGCAGCCGCTCGGCGAGGCGCCCCCGGGCTGGGAGGCCGCCGCGAACCGACGAAACCGCCCGAACACCCCGAACACCCCGAACCGCGAAACCGACGAAAACCGCCGCGAACCGACGAAGACCCCCCCTCGTCAGCACGCCCCTCTTTGCCGCCCTCGATGAAAGGTAGTCCACCTTGTAGTGGCCGGCACTCTTGCGTGCAGCCGGTCTCCGCGACAAACGCCGCTCTGCCGGCCCCCACCTCGCCGAGCGCCCAGGCGCCGGCGCACCTGCACACCCGCAGGGTGGCTGGGAGCCTGCCCGTCAGGCAGGCCGCGGAGGAGTTCGGTGGCAACTCACGGGAGCCGCCCACACCCGTAAGGGGAGAACAAAAGGGGGGAATAGCAAAGGGCAGGGTAGAGAAGCAGCTCACGTAGCTGATTTTCCCAGCGCCTCCTGGCGCCAGGAGGCGCCCATGTATCCAGGAATGGGCCCGGCGGCGGGGCCGAAAGCAGCTACATACAGCAGATTTCTTAACCCCCCTTTCCCTATCCCCCCCCCCCCCTGTCGTTCGGCCAGAACCAGAAGAAGAAAAACACATAAACATAAACTTTTGGCGCTCCGCGCGGATTCAAGAAATCCGCGCGGAGCGCAAAAAGTTTATGTTTATGTGTTTGTTCCTCCGACTCCCACACCAGCTGTCAGCGGCGAGCGAGGGGGGGAAGGTGAGCAGGAGAAGGCCCTCTCAGAAGGCGGCGGGGCTTCGCAGAAGCCGTCGGGCCTTCTGAGAAGTGCTCGATGTCTCCGAGGAGGAGGAGGAGGAGGCGGAGGACCAGTGTAAACGCAAGAGACATCAACGATGTTGGAATAAACCCACCTTCCAAAAACCCTCTTCATAGGCCTTTACAACGGTTCATTTCCATTGAGGGAACTGCCTCGTTGGAAGACAACCGCTTGAAGACACTGAAGAATGTCACAACATTGCTCTCGGGATTCCAACGCCACGGGTCAACCTGACTATTGCGTGTTGACGATCCTGAATCGTGCTAGAACGGCATTCCTTGGACTTCAACACACCGAATCAACGTAACTGTTGCGCCCGCGTAATCCTGAATCCTTTCAAAACACAATCTCTGATACGTTGATGATGGGACCCGTGAAACTTTTGCAAAGTGTGTAAACGAAAGTGCGCGGCGCTAAGGAGAGAAACACGTTTTGAAAAGGCGCCGCCCTCGATCCGTGAAACTCGTGCGTAAAAAAAACACGAATGTGCGCCGCGCTAAGGCGAGAACCGCGTTTTGAAAAGAACCTGCCCTCAATCCGTGAAAATCTTGCACATGTTTCAAACGAATATGCGCCGCGATAAAACGAGAGCTACATGTTGAAAACGACCGGCCCTCAATCCGTGAAACCCTAGCACATGTTCAAACGAATGTGCGCTGCGATCAAACGAGAGCCACATTTTGAAAACGACCCGCCCTCAATCCTGGAAGCCCTTGCTAATGTTAAAAAACGAATGTGCACCGCGCTGAGGCGAGAGCCACATTCTGGAAATGACCCGCCCTCCATATATGAAGCTGCCGCCAAGGTTTAAGCTTCAGAGTCATACATGGTGAGGAAGTCTTCTCAGGCGAAATGCCCGGCCCGCACGAAGAACTGGCCCCGAGGTGCGACAGGGAGACGTTACTTATATAGGGACATGAATGGAGGAGGAGGAGGAGGAGGAGGAGGAGGAGGAGGAGGAAGAGGGGGAGGGGAAAGGCATAGAAAACTTCTCGGAAGGCCCGAGGCCTTCCGAGCCTTTTTGGAGAAGGCCCACCCCCTCTCGCCTCCTCCCCCCCAGGCTCGTCGCCGAATCTTGCTGGCTCTTGCGAGTCTACACGAATCCCCACGCGGAGTCGATGCTGGCCGACGCTACGTCAGCGCTAGTCTCATCGATGACCATACTCTCATCGACGCCAGGAGGCGGAACCGAGGGTGCGCACAAGGCTCCCAAGACTTGCGACCGAAGGAGAGCACTCCGGAGCTGGGATCCTCGAAGTCGTCCACGACCGGGTCGGACGAGGAAGGGGGATCTCGCGGCGCGCGCCAGGGGGCGGAGGGAGAGAGGGGAAGGCTTCTTGGAAGCGGGCTGCTTCTTAGAAGGCGCGGGCCTGAAATCTGCAGACAAGGCCCGCGCCTTCTGAGAAGCAGGGGTGCTCCTCACAAGCCCCCCCCCCCCGCCGGGGCGGGGAGGAGACCTGCCGCGTACAGCCGGCTCTGACCCCGCCGCCACGCCCCCTCCCCCATGCGTGTCCGCCTCTGGCGCCGGGAGGCGCGGGGAACGCCCGTGGGTGCGTTTCAGACCCTTGCCTCGAACAAGGAACCCTGAATCAGCGCACGGTAATGGAGCAAGAACCGACCGTCCCGGCATTTATATAGGCCTACCACGAGATGTTCTTAGAACCCAGAAATATTCCAAAAACGATAACCAATGCTCTTAGAACATAAGCCCGATGTGTTGAAACAAGCCAGACTCAGCCAGAAATGCTCTAAGAACATTCCGTGCCAACAACAACAAGTTCTTAGAAGATTCTTTGGTGGGCCTATAGGCCAGCCAAGACGCTTCGACACTGCTTAAGGTAAGCTCATGCGGCGCTGACGCGCCGGCGACGCAAGCGAAGGCGTTCAAACTCAAATTCTGAGCGCGGCTGGGGGACAGCACCACGGGGAGGTCCGCGAGCCAGGTCGCTTTCGGCGGACCCCCCCGGCGCCCCCCCGCGCCCCCCGGCGCCAGAGTAGTTCGACGGACGCGCCCCGCGGCGGGGCCGAAAAACCAGTTGCGCGCGGCAGATTTTGCCTCCTCTTCCTCCTCCTCCTCCTCCTCCTCCTCCTCCTCCTCCTCCTCCTCCTCCTCCTCTTCCTCCTCCTCCTCCTCCTCCTCCTCCTCCTCCTTAGGCGTTATTGTAGCTTGAAGTGTTTGGGGCGCTTATTACCAGCAAAATTATGTATTCTTTGAACTCAGCCTGGCTGAACAAACGAGAAAGAAAGAAATTGAATGGATTCCACGCGCGCTGCCTTCGCCAAATCATGAATATTCCTAACTCGTACGTGTCTAGAATATCAAACAAAACAGTTTTGCTCAGAGCTGGGATACC